GGGCTTATTTGACTTTTTTGATTAGTACATGGGCCTATTTCCACCTTTTCCCTATTTAAAATGAAATGCTATATATCATATTCTTAGGACTTAAACAATAGTAATAACATCAATGACAATACCAGTTAAAAATTTAAAACTATAATCTAAATATTTATAATAGTTTTAATTTTCTATCAGATATTTTTTGAAATGATTTGGTATCAGAATTAACAAGTGCAATGTTCTATGCAACCGATAAAAAATGATTTGGTATCAGATTTAACAAGTGCAATGTCCTTAAAACTCATTTTATAAATTTTCAGCTGACTTTAAACAACCAATTAACCAAACACCATTTTGCAAACCGCTAATACTATCAGCTGATCAAAACAAACAATTGTATCAGCTGTCATCCATCAGCCAACAGATCAGAAACTGCTATCAGCCAACATCCAACAACCGATTGCCAAACACCCCTAATACTCTATCAATTATATTAATATAAAAATTTACCAAATTGAAAGCCATATGAGCTATTACAATGCGATAATCAGAGGCTAACCCCCTAAATAGTGGGATTGAGTGCCTTTTGAAGTTGGTTTGCATGATGAATCTTTCTATAACAAGACATACTTGACAAAATGGCTAACATCAATAGCACCTGTTTTATTTACTATTTTCCATTTATCTTTTAGTATTTGTTTGAGATCTACCTCATAATTATTCGTTTCATTTATTTTTGAGAGAATTCCCTAAATAGGAGTAAAGACGTTTTGAAATTCCAAAATAGACTATCATGTTTTTTATTCCCTGAATATGAGTAAATTTCTGCCAAGTTTGGCATTACTAGCCTTTTAACATGACATTTGTTTCCAAACTTGGTAGATTACTCCTATTCAGAAAATAAAAAACATGATAGTCCTATTTTAGAATTTCAAAACGTTTTTACTCATATTTAGGGCCAATTCTGTTTATTTTATGAAAGAAGAACAAAAATTTTACTTTTAGACCCCGTTTGGTAGCACGAAAACCGGCTGATTTGGCTGATTCTGTTGAAATTTATAAAGTTCTCACTGAAGTGGATGCATTGGTAGATTCTGCTGATTTAAGATTTTTTTAAAATATATTTTATTAATAAAATAAAGAAAAAATTATATGTAAAAATAGCTAAAATGATCTTCTATAATAACTTTAGTCAATACAGCTAGAAAAGTATCCCCAACCTTACTTTTTCTGCTTATTACACAACTCAGCGTGCGAAAGCAAAAGTTACATGTTTGATGAAAAAATTGGCTGACAAGCCTGATATGCCGAAAAACAGTGTTGCCAAATGGTCTCTTAGGCTTTTAAAATACACGAAGTACAACGATAAAAAAAGGATATTTTGACTTTGCACCCCGCTTTTTGGGTGATATTGAACTTTTGCACCTCATTTTCAAAACTCTTAAAATTTGCACCCTATTTCCCCTAATATGTCTTTGCCTTTGCACCCCATTCAAGATTTTTTCTTCACAAAATGTTGTAGATAGGATGCAAAGTCTAAAAATTTTGAAAATGGGGTGTAAAGTCCGATATCACCCAAAAAGTGGGGTGCAAACTCAAAATTCCTCTAAAAAAAATACACGAAGTACAAAAATGACTAGTCTTTTTGCCTGTTAAAATCACGACTAATCTTTATTTAGTTAAATCAAATTCCTTTTCTTGTAATCTCTATTCAAACTATGTTGCCAGCCGCACTCCACACTTGCTTATTTCGATAAACAATTTCATTTTTAAGTACCAAGTCCCTAGAAAATTTTACAATATCTAATACCGTATACTCCGTATTATTTTACAAATAGTTACTAGCTATTTGTAAAATAATACAGTACTACGTAATCAGTTAGTGACATAAAAATTGTCAGTGAAATCACATTTTTTTAAATTTATGCGAAAAAATTTCATTTGAGTGAACTTCATTTATAGGTGAACTTGATTTTAGTCATATGAAAAGTAGTCACTTTTTTATAGGTGAACTTCATTATCTTTAAGGATAATCACTTCTTTAAGTGAGAATTTCACTTTTGTTCCCACTTCAATCAATATCTTGGCAATGTCGTAGTTCGTTACCCTTAAACGCTTTTGAGATCTAGTATTATCATTATCAGCACAATCCTAAGACTACTTCCATTCAAATATGATTGATTTTATTATTGAGTTCTTGACACTTGACATTTAGTACGAGTATGTATTTAAGAGAAGTGCACATTATTAATATGACTATAATCTTAATCCTTTTGATGGAGATTTATGATTGATTTATGTGGTTGTTACAATGACCCATCCACCTAAACAAGGGAAAACATCCCACGGCGTCCATAATTGGAGACCAGAATGCTACCCGCCAACTGTTCTCTAATGGCTTAGGACTTTGGGCATCTATAGTTCGGTTCTTAGGCAAAATATGTAGAACAATTTAAAAATCTTTACTTCGTAAATCCGAATTTTTAATATTGGTTTAGTTCTTATATATTACTCTGTATTTGTAGAATCGGTATGAAACCGAATCAAACATAATCGTTCGATTGTAGTCATTTCTTGGTTCCTATTCTTTTTTTTTAAATCTCTTACAAATCACCAATAAGTTTGTGTCATATAAAGACATCCAGTGTTTGAAATCATAAGAAATACAAATATGTTCAAGATTATCATCGTTTCAACCCTCAAAAGTTAAGTTTTAAACATAGGTACATAACAATTTAAAAATTTTAGTAAGGAAACTAAAAAAGACGTTCACCAGGAGTTGGTTAAAAATACTCATCAAATTATAATCTCTATTAACTAAGCACAATTAATGAATTAAATATTACGTAGTAAAACATACTCTAATAATGAATAGATAAAAACTTAAATATTATATAACGGTTCCTTAACAGTTCCACACACATATTTTTATATATAAGTACCGAGAATTAAAATGGACTGGTTAATAAAAAATAGGAACTAAACCGATTGCTTAATAAAAATAGGAACCCAAACCTTAATAAATACTACATCCATCTTCTAAAACTTTATCAAATTTCTTATTTTAGAGCCCGTTTGGAGAACTCTGTTTTCGGCTTATCAGGCTTATCAGCCAGCTTTTTCACCAAACACGTAATTTTTACTTTCGCGCGCTGAATTGTGTAATAAGCCGAAAAAGTAAGGTTGGAGTTACTTTTCTGGCTGTATTGGCTGAAGTTACTGTAGAGGACCATTTTAGCTATTTTTACATATAATTTTTTCTTTAATTTATTAATAAAATATATTTTTCAAATATTTTTTTCTTAAATCAGCAGAATCAGCCAAAACAGCCACTCCAGCCAGAATATCATAAATTTCAGCAGAATCAGCCAAAACAGCCGATTTTGGTGCTACCAAACGGGCTCTTAGTTGTCCACTAAATTTGCCCCCTTTCCCCTTTGGGAAAAGGGGCAAAAATGACCCTAATGTTTTGTTCTAGAGGGAGATATGACCCTAAACTTTTGTTGGGGTGAAATACTATACGTATACAAATTAAGTTTGTTGAAGATTTAGGCACCTTTCTACTAATGGTTGTATACTACTCCGTAACACATAACATAAAACTTGGAATATACCAATTTCTTACTTTCTATAATAACTTTTGAAATAAAAAAATTGAGTAACCTCAACGTCCGAATTAAAAACTGATTACTGATTTATTTACTTTAAAATTAAACTAGGCTTTACAAAAATAACAAATTAACATGGAAAAAATGATTGAAATATATAATAAGGCCTGAATAAAATTTATAAATAAATAAAAGATTGCCCCTTAAAATTCGATAAAAAGGTAACAAATATAAATACACGCTAGAAGTCATAAAATACCACAAAAATATTAATTATATTTTCAAGTTTTAAAGTAGTCTCATATATAGTTCATGTTTATACTTTCGTAACAAAGAAAATCAACATTAAAATTTGTCATAATATCACAACTTGACCGTACGGATAAACCCATGACCGGTGAAATTTAAAATTACATATCTTAGTCATTCTACACACAAATTACGTCTAAATATTTTATATGAAAAATACCAACATTCACATTTTTAAATTTATGAAACTTGAGTGCCACACATTGTGTTTTGAAAATGTGTATGGAAATTAGGCTATTTTTAGCACTCTAGCCTCAAATTATTATTTTCCAATGCAAACACTTAGAGAGCCCATTTAGCACGAAAATCGGCTGATTTGGCTGATTTTGCTGAAATTTATGAAGTTCTAGTTGAAGTGGCTGCGTTGGCTGATTCTGCTGTTTTAAGAAATAATTATTTTTAAAATGTATTTTATTACATTTTAAATACATCCAAAAACTTACCAAAAAGGGAAGTGTAGCAAATTTTAAAATACGGAGGAGTATGTAAAAATAGTTAAAAATACATGTACTACATTTCAATGTGTGTTCTATTTGAGATGATAAACATGCAATTTCCCCCAAATGAATTGTGATTCATTCCTAACCACACATCAATTCAAATCCTATAACAAATCCATTCAGATGTAAGAAGCAAATACAAAATAAAATAAAGACATTACTGCACGTTGACCTTTTTTATTCGGTGAAGAGCTAAAAATCTTTAAACCAGGGTATGTCATTTTGGCTCCTCTTTGTGTAAGATGAAGAGAGAATCCACTCACTTTTAGTTTTGGTATAGGCTTATTTACTTAGGACCAGGTTAAAACTAACGGCACCATGAGGGGAGGTGCCTAAATTGTCAAAATAATCCACCTCCGTTCTCTATTAGTTGGCCCTATAGGGTTTGGAACAAGTTTTAAGAGTAAAATAATAGGGGTAATGTAAAAGGTGTAGTTATAAAATAGGAAAGAGAATGAGGGTAAATGGGTATATTTATTGAAAAAACATTCCAAAAATGGAAAGAGAGACAAATATTAGAAAACAACCCAAAATGGAAAGAGAGACAAATGTTGAACAATATCCTAAGCTATTTCAACCCAAAAAAATTCAGGGGCATATCCCCTCCTACAACAAAACACAACAAAAATTAGGGTCATTTTTGCACCCTTTCCCCTTTTCAATTTAACTAAAGAATTTGAGGTTTCATTAATTCAACAAGAAGGGAGTAACTAATTAAAGTTGGAAGGTGATAACTTGCAGGGGAGTTGCGGCCGCTACTGCTACTCTGAGTAATCTATGTTTCATCTAATCTCCTCCACTTGAGCATATGTATACTCTTATAGCTTCGAAATTTTAACTGAACCTTTGGGCAGTGCTCCATCTCTTTTTCTTCAATACAAGCAGCCATCCAGGTAATCGGAAATTCTTCTTGCAAATTTTGTATTGTCATGTATGTCTATGGTGACTTGTTATAATTTGTGTGTTTGAGACGCTTAATAACTAATTGGAGTTACTCCTTTTTGTTTCCATCTAAACTTTATTCAGGTTTAATCCAATTCCACTTTTCAAACGTGTCCTTGTTCCTTTTGTCCGTTTAAAATTTGGTTGTGTATAATGGGGTGGTTGCTTCACTTGCTTCTGCTCTCTGTTTAGGATAAGAGTAACAGATGTAAGGGTCAATTGGATGCCATAAAACAAGATGAATTGTGCTGATTATTTGTTTATAATTATATTTGTTTTTTTAGTTCACCTCAAGAAGTTGCTTCTGATTAGTTTATTATTTACAAATATTACTAGCTCATTTGATTGTCAAGGTGTGGTCCAATGAGGACATTTATTCTTAGAAAAGATTATTAAAGGAATAGTTGTATGATTGTTTGATGGTATTTTCTTGTGATCTTTGGACCTTTTTTGAAATTAAATGATCAAAAGTGCAGCTGAAACTGTGAACTAATCTTATTATTACTATTCTCAAGAGGTTGTGAGGCAAAAGATTAATCTTCTCTTTAAAGATTCTCATTTTCTATACTTACTTTCTTTTAAATGATACTCCTTATTTTATTTTGTAGTGTGTTAGCTTGAACACATTAAGCTTTAAATTTAAGTAATTTAAAAAGTTTCTCTGTTCATTAGACATGCTTTGTAGTTGTTAGTTTGTTTAATTTGAGATTTTTATTTCAGGTTGTTCTCATTTACATTAGAGGTTTATTTTTATCCTTTTTTGAACTAAAGCTAGTTTGAGTATAATTTGATTGGCCATCAATAGTAGTCATGAGCTTTAAGATTGTGATGTGTTGTGGCATTGAAAAATTTGCTAGTAATGCACTTGTTTGACTCTTTACTTTTGTCCATAAAATAAATGCATTCCACTAGGAACCCTTAAGCCCCACGGCATAAGTTAAACTGCCTCTACATAGATCTAGGGAGATAGGACTATGGTGTCTCTTTTGCTTTCAGTTTTACACATTTCTTTTACTTTATTGATGTGCAATATTAGTTTAAGAATATTTCAGAGTTAAATTTACCTATTACTGGGTGTGTTATTCTTGTTGCCTTGGAAGCTAAAACCTCTTTCCTAGGCACTTGCATGCCTATTTCAAGATTTTCATTATATATTCAACTTAAATGTCTTGTTTATTATTTTCTCATGCTTGAATTTTTCGTAATATTTGCACATTGGATGCGTGGAATGGTGGTATCTTTGACAAAAATGTCACTTTTAATGATATGAACTTTGAATATTTTTCTGTAGCTGCAGAGGTAATTTGTGTTCATTTTAGGGATTACATGATATTTATGAACAGAAAAGGTAAGAACCAAACCGTTTTGACCTTGTTCGGTTCCAAAACGTTCTGAATTTTTTATTAGGAATGAACCAAATTTTAAAACAACATTTTCTAAAACGGTTATTCTACATTTTAACCAGATTCAATTAATCTCAGGCCTAACATACCCGAGTAACCCGATCTAATAATCCATAAAAAAAGTCAATTTATGAGACAATAGGAAAAACCAATCCTAATGGAATTAGAGGAAAACCTCTAGCTTTGTTTTTAATTTAATTACTCTCATCAAGATTCAAGGCTTGATAAAGCTCAACTTCACTCTTGGAACCGACTGACAAAAGGAGGCAAGCCCCTGAAAACGCTGCTGGGAACAAAAAGGTGACTTTTTTCTGGTGGGTTCTGCTTGGTTTACTATACAGTGCTTTTTCTTCAAAAAAGCCTGGACTAGGTGATTGCCCAATTTGCTTCAGAAGGAAGTCAGTTATAGTTGATACTTGATCGTGGCTTCAATTTTTCATCTCTTTTGTTTCTTTTGATCCATCGAACCCCTAACAGTGGATTTATTTCTCTGTAGATATTGTTTGGAGCCAATTGGAGTCTAAAGTTTCATTCTTTGATGGGTGGGAATCGTGTCATTTGTGATTCTAGGTTTCAACTAAAGGTCAGCTCTCAGAAAATAACTGCCTCCTTTGTTGTCCTAAAAACTAAAAACGACTTCTGTGTTTTTATTTTTGGTGGTGCACACCAGTCTCTTCAATCATTTGTAATGGAGCCAAAGACTCACTATTTATTGGCTTGGAAATATGATGGAATAAAGCAAAATGACTCACTAAACTTTCTGCCCTTCTTTATTATGAAGCAGCGGTCAGTCCATGCAATTTTTGAAGCAATTTTCACTATGGATCATCCGGAAACAGTCTCTCTGTGCTTTTGTACAGGGGTAGATTGCGTACATCCGACCCCCCTCTTACCCCACCGTAGGTGGGGAGCCTTTGCGGCACTGGTGTATTGAAGAAGAAGACACCAGTCTCTTCAATGTGCCTCAAACTAACTTATGCTAATTTTTTTAAAAACTCGGGCTTTTTTATTGAAAGATAAAAAACTCAGGCTTTTTTTTTCTTTGGGGGGGGGGGGGGGGAATTTGAGGCTGGGCAAAAATGAGCGGTTAAGTGAATTTCCATTATGATGGAAGGGTGAGGCATGTTTGGGTGCGTCAAGAGTTATAAATTTATAATTAAACTAGCTACTCTTTGGGGTTGAATATGGTTTGGTTGAGTGTGACACATGGCTTCAGTTGAGTACTTGAGTACATCGATACAATCCTGAATTATATTATATATTTATTTTGTTGGGTGTTATAGTGTGCTGCAGAGAGATTTGACCCTTATGATTGGATAAGTTGCCTTCCAGATGACATTCTCATTGTGATATTGTCTTCCCTTCCGCTGAAGGAAGCTGGGTGCACGAGTGTTCTTTCATTTCGTTGGAAGAACTTGTGGAAACAAACCTCGTGCCTCATTTTTTATGACAGCAGTGCATTGGACAAGATTGCTCAAGATAACAAGCTACGCAGTGAGGAGAGGCGCAAGTACGTAAGATGGGTGAACTCAGTCCTGAAATCTGCACCACACAAAGGGGCGCTCACCTTGGAACACTTCAGGATCTGTTTTGATATAGGAAAAGCATTCTCTAGGACCATTACGAGGTGGCTTAAATTTGCTTTTAAGAGACGGGTTGAGAGCTTGGAGTTGAACCTTCTAGAATATGGCGATTATAAATCAAAGAAACCATATGTCTTCCCTAAAGACATCTTCTTCCGAAACAGCAGTGACATCCCTCACCAAACTACTACACTTTTCAACTTCAATTTCCTGAAAGCGCTGTGTTTGAATAATGTTTCGATCAGTGATGAAGCTATGGAGTTTTTCTTGCGCAACTGTACATCACTAGAGCAATTAGTTCTTCAATGCATAGATCAATTATCAAATCTTGAAGTTTGTGGTCCATCCCTTGTGTTAAAAAGTTTGGATACAAGGTATAGCTTTGATTTGAAATCCATTAGGGTATCCGCACCAAACCTTACTTCACTTGCAGTTTCGACACCAAAAGGACTCGTGCTCGAGAATGTTCCAATGCTTGTAGATTTAAATATTCTCTGCATGGAAACTAAAATGCCATTAAAAGTTCTTACACTAAATTGTTGCTTTTCCCAATTGGAGATTCTTACCCTGCGGCTGCTAATGCATAAGGTGATACATCATCATTACAGATGCTGCTATACAAAACAATGAAGTATATATTATTTGTTCCTTACTGTTATCATGTCTCTTGCAGGCACATGATATTGTGCGGTCCAACTTCCCTGAGATGCTTAAGTTGAAGAAGCTGACTGTAGATTTTTCAGCAGATCTTGATGAAAGTCTTCTTGGACTAACAACATTCATTAGGATATCTCCCAACCTAGAAGAATTTGTGTTAATGGTGGGTGGGTTCGACTACTTGCGCATTATCATTTTGCTTTTTGTACAAGTTTTTTCCCTTTTCCTATTCTCTCGGTTTTGTTATTGGGAAAGTTCCCGAAATAGGAGTAAATAGGTTTTGAAATATCAAAAAAGGTTGTTATGCCCCCCCCCCCGGTAAAATAGGAGTAAAATGTCGGTATTTATTGCCATCTTGTAGTCATTACAGTCAAATAGTTGCAACACTAAGCATTAAACATGACAGTATTTACTATCATTAATGGCAATATTTTTCAAACATGCAGTAACGACTCCTATTTAACAGTTCTATTTTGGAATTCCAAAACCTATTTACTCCTATTTAGGGCAATTTCCCTTGGTTATTTGGTTTGTCTTAAATGATTCTTGAATTTCGCTGCTTGCTCCGAGAAACAGACAGATAGAGCAAGTCACTGTTCTTTATTTTCTTATGTGCAGATTGATTGGTCCGAGGTATCTTCATGGGCTAGCAGAGAAGTGAACAAGGGAACACCATTTCCTCACCAACACATTAAGGTGTTCAAGTATTTAGGCTATTATGGCCACTGCAGTGATTTGGAAGTAGTGATGTTCATTTTGGAAAACTGTGTTGGACTTCAAGAAATCATCATTGATCCAGCCATTCCGCTAGTTTTTTTGCATGAGCCACGAGAGCCCGATGAGTTGGACTACGAACAAGTTGGCAGAAGTAATGCGAAGCAACAGCTTGAACCAATAATCCCTCCCCACATTACATTTGCTATCCAATAGATTCTTGTTATTCTATTGCATTTGCTACACCGGAGGTTACCAGCAATCTCTAATCTGCAGCTATTCCCCCCTTAGCTTTATTTATTTGTTTATTCATTTTTTGGAGTTGGTGTTCATCAGTCTCTGCGTGTACCTTTTGAAACAAGGAATAATAGGCATTCAAAGCCTTTGATTGAAAATCACTGCTATTCATTATTTTGCCGTAGCTGATGAGTCCTAATTTTTTAAAATCTTTGTGTTTATAAGTTGGGAAGAATTTGATGACAGTAGTGCTGCAGCTAGTTGCTCTGTCTTGCTGTCAACGGTATATGTCCAATGGAAATTTTTAATTTACAATTTACCTAAATTGATTTTTAATTTAAGATTTTTATTGGGTGTTGATAAATTTAAATTATTCTTACAAATAGTTTAATCAATTTTTATAAGTAATTTACATATTTTGAAATTGTATTGAAGAACTATAAAGTCCTAAAATCCAAGTTAATTAATAGGCTAAAGGGTCAAATAGACCCTCGAACTAATTTAAAAAGTGAAATACCATTATATAGGAAGTTCTGTCCAGTTGTCGTCAATTGGGGCGGTTCCCGGTATAATTTTTGATAAATTTTTTTGAGCATCTTCTTCATTAAGTATAGGTTACCCATACCAAATTTCAGATAAAATTCAACAGGGAAGATAGCCATTTTTTTTTGAAATGTTTTGTGTTGTTTAACTGCGCAGTTATCTTCAAAAATTCATTTGACTGTCTCCCCGATTGAATGTTTAGCTGAAATTTAATGAATAAAATGCTCCAAAAAATTCATCAAAAAATTCGATCGCGAACCGCTCCAATTGACGATGACCGGACATAGCCTTCTATATAAGGGGTGAGTTGCATTTTTTAAGTTTGTCCGAGAGCCTATTTGACCCTTTAACCTAATTAATAATACGAAATTTGATATACAAAATGAGTAAATAGAATCTAATTATATTGATAAAGAGAGAATGACATAGACTTTGTAAATTCTTTGTAATTTATTTTTGTAAATAGTATATTGTGTAAGTAAATGAGGTATAAAGTCCATTCTAATCGAAGCCCTAGAGATGCTACATGAACAACATAGGGCTCCGTGACTATTTTTATTAAAAAAACATCAATACATTCACAATGATATTTAAATCTACTACATTCTAAATTTAGATAATGAAAAAAAACTTTGACTTTATAATTGAAGTGCTTTAGGAAAATGTGTTGATACATTAAAGCGTAAGAAATAACTTCTGCATTATTTAACTAATGAATCGTATTGGAATAAAGAATTGGTTTTTGGTGTTCTAAGTCACCTGGAGTTTTCGTAATATTACAATAATATGTATAATATTGTTGTTTTTAAAATAATACGTAGTATTATATTACTAATTCACATATATGGTGCATATTATAGTTTTTTTAATGCTAAAATAAGTTAAATTTTATTATTTATTTATGCAATAAATAGTTTTTTGGAAGTAAGAAGTAAATAAATTGTGTAATACAATCTCAACAAACATTTATATTTTACATTCACTTCAGATGATCTAAAAGTTGTTTAACTATTGTATCTAGTATTTAATATTGTTTGATATTTTATAAAATCAAGTACTAATTATCTAATAAACATAATTAGACATTACAAAACTAGGACTTTTTATATAATAAATATACTAAGTCTTAAACAATGAGTTATTTTATTATTTATTTGCTTAAGTTATGTAAATTGTTAGATGTTTCTTTTCGAGGTAAAGGTCAGATTGGTACTCGAAGTTGCATAAAAAGAGTCAAATAAGTCCTTAATGTTCGACTATAGCCATTTGAGGCGGTTCCCGGTGGGATTTTTTTATGAATTTTTTTTAGCATCTTATTCATTAAGTCTAGTTTACTCATACCAAATTTCAGCTAAAACTTCAACCGGGAAGGCATTCAAATGAATTCTTGAAGATAACTACACTTTTAACTGCGCGGTTATCTTCAAGAATTCATTTGAATGCCTTCTCGGTTGAATATTTAGCTGAAATTTGGTATGAGTAAACTAGACTTAATGAATAAGATTCTCAAAAAAATTCGTCAAAAAGTTACACCGGGAACCGCCCCAAATAGCGTTGGCCGGACAGAGCCTCCTATATAAGGACTTATTTGACCCTTTTTATGCAACTTTGAGTACCAATCTGACCCTTACCTCGTTTCTTTTCTTAAAAATCAATTAAGTACGTAGTACTTCATATTACATTATGTAAGATCATATATTAGTTTTGAAAACTAAAAGTTAAGAGGGGCAAATACATATTAATTTAATTGAAATATGAATTTTTTATATATAGTTAAATTTTTTGAAAGTCTAAGAACATCTCCAATGTGAAAATGTTAACGGTGCATACATGGCATGAGAAATAACCAATTAAAAAACAATAAATAGAATATCTCTCTCCTTGTTTGACGGATCTTACATCATTTCGGTAAGTTTTTCTTCACAATGTCAAGCACAATGTCTAGGTGTAGACATTGTAGTTGATATTGCAGACAAAAACTTATCAAAAAACACATAAGACCGTGGAAAGAAGGAGAGAGAAATGTCATAAAATCAATATTTTGCGTTTATCTCTCATGTCACTTGTGCACCGTGCACATTGTAGCATTGGAGATCCTCTAAGGAGTTGCACCCGTAAGTCTCGGCTGTGGTGGCCTGCATAACCCAAACGGCTTTGTTGTACTGGGGTCAAGTATTGTTCTCTCTCAAGTTTCCCTTGAGATTCTTCTTGATATCTTTCTTCTCATCTTCCTTCCATGACAGAATTTTTCTCCCTGCTTGTGTTCTCCTCAAGCGGTGCAATTCCTTCTTATTCCTCCACCCCCTCCATCGATCTCCACAAGCTGGGCCGGGAAGATGCATGTCCTTCCCAATCTCGGATTCGACGTTGTCTCGACCGCTTGCTTGCTTTTTTCTTTCTCTCTTCACTATGTTACGTTAATCCAACCTTAAACGTAAGGTAAAGCTCAAGAATTTTCACATGTACCTCTACGTACGTGTCGCACCAATTTAAGCCCACACAGATGCAGAAATATCTTCTTCTTTATTTGCATTTGTCTTCACTTTAGCTCCAAGAATGAATCTTTATGTTACATCCGGTTTCGAATCACTGCCATGGCATTTCTAAGGCTTGTTTGCAAACGCTATTAATAAGTGCTTTTGAACTCTTATATTTTGGAAAAAGTGCTTAATAGTAAAAGTTCGATGATCAAGCCACCGTGGGGGAAGAGTCGCGGTGGCTGCCGTGAAATACAATTTGAGAAAAAAATGATTTTGAAAAGTAAAAGTTGGTACTGTTTGGTAAAATACGTGCCTTTTGTGTAATAGAAAAGGTAAAAAACAGATTCTAACTTTTAGTTTTTAAGTATCAATTTAAGTAGAATTTGTCATTTGAAAACACTCTTTTTACCTATTTTTAAGCCGAAAGCTGGGAAACGTTTTTTTCCTAGTGTTTGCAAACAAAGCCGCCTTAGGCAAAAGGGTGAGATTATAGGGGTGGGCAAAAATACCGAAATATCGGTATACCGCACTTACCGTACCGAAAATTACCGGAAAAATACCGGAATATTGGTATACCGTCATTTTCAGTACGGTATCATACCGTACCGATTTATTTCGGTACGGTAACGGTAAATATTTTCAAATACCGCGGTATACCGGTATAATACCGTACCGACTACCTACCCAATAATTACTTTTAATTCTAAAATATTGTAAAAATCCATTACAATTTTGAAGTCCAAAATTAATACTTAAGTTGGTTACAAATACCAAAATACAAAAATAAAAGTCTAATTTCCTAAACTTTAGGCTTTTACTACATAACATTCAAGCAAACTAACCCTAATGACTAATAAGTAATATACTAATGTCGAGACACACAACTTTGTCTGAAAGTCTTATTCAAATATTTTTCAAAAAATTATAAAAATGACTAAATGCACAATACCATATTAGGAATAAATGATTTCATTTATATCCATGTTGTTTGAATAATTTTATTTATTTTTGCTAGAGATCACTATTGATTTAATTATATCTATATTGTTCAAGTTATTTTATGAGAATGTGTTATTTATTAATACGTGACATGTTAAACTACTTAAATATACTACTCCGTAATAATAATTATTGTTCAATATTGAATTGACATAATAGATTATTAATTGTATTTTGTAACATTTTAATAATAGATTAAATATGTCGCTAGTAACAACGATTTAGTATATTTCATAAGTCTATGATAATTTATCATATTGGGAGACATTCATGGTAATTTACCGATACCGTACCGTTACTGAACCAAAATTTCGATATACCGAAATGCGGTATAATGAAACTTCGGTATGGTAACAGTATATAAATTTTGTATACCGAAAGTTTCGGTACGACAAAGGTATGAGAGAAAATATTCGGTATACCGTACCGAACCACCCTTAGGTGAGATATGGCAAGTAAAGTGAGGTGAAAGTCCATAAGCAAGTGAAGTGAAAGTCCACCGAAAGTGAAGTGAAAGTCCACCGAAAAGGCGAAAATGAGACGGCGGCGGCGATATATGGCAAAAGGGTTGGCGAACAATGAAGAGAAGAAAAACGAGTGTGAATGCTTCGTGGATATCTTTACATGTATAAAAAGAGTATGGTGGAAAACCAAATAGAAGTTTAGTTGGAGCCAAAAAAAGTGAAAGAATTTTGCCTTACGTAATGAAGCATAATTAATTATTCAATAATTAATAACAATCAATGATGAAGTATAAGTATAATTAATAGTTTTAAGTTATAAACCAAATATTAGAAAAATGAGGATAAAGAAAAGAATATAAATAAAATTATTTATTTGAAAGATATAGATAAAATTATTAGAAAAATATGACAAACATAGACATGCAAAAGTAATTAAGAAGCATAACATAATAACATACTAACAGAGATATTTTCCTGTTTTCTACTTCTGTTTTTCGTTCTCCAATTTTCTGTTTTTATTTTTCAGTTTTTCTATCTCCAATTTTCTGTTTCCATTTTTTAGTTTTCCATTTTCAAACTTGAAAACATGTTCATCAATTTTTTCACATAGTTCTCCAATCCACACCCTTGACCCCTACCTTTACCCTTACCACGATCTTACACTCTACCCATACTCCACCACAACCCTTCATACCCACCC